GTGAGAGAGAGAGAGAGGGGGTCACATCACAGTGGAGTCAGCTGTCTTAACCGTGGCTTGTGTACTGCAAACACATACCAGCTTCATCACTGTGTCTGTCACGCGACTCTGTTCCCCTTTCGGGCTCTGTCTTTACATTTATTTTGAAAGATGAAGCTCGCGATTATGGTAAGGGGCGTTACATTTCCGACGAGTGCTTGCGGTGTTCGGCCAATCACAATGCACTGGGTCAGCTGGCCAATCAGAGCAGACTGCGCTTGTCGGAAGGAGGGACTTTGTAGAAAACGAAGCGTTTGAGAGAGGCGGGGCATAGAGGACCTACAATAATGTACAGTATTTGAAAAATAATGTGTTTTTTGAACATTAAAGCATGTCAACATATTCTGTTACACCAAATACACAAAATAATGATCTTTAAAAAAGCATCATATGACCCCTTTAAGATAACTACTATTCAATTGCAAGAAAGAGATTTAGTTTAATTTAGCAGCAATCTCTGGAAAGGTTGTATTTGATATTTGATCCATTATTAATTTTTCTATTCATTTAAAGGAAATATTTGCATATGTACATACATAGGCCTATATATTATCTTTATATGTATATGTGTGTATAGTTCGTTTTTTTTTTTTTTTGCTTTTAGAAAAGAAACACTGAATGTTAATGGATTTCTATTTTCTAATAGAATATATGGTGTTATTTACAGTAAATATTATATAGTTATGTATGTCTATGTGTGTACTAGTTGAGTGTATGTGGTCCTGGTAAACCCTACGTTATGGGGACAAAATGTCCCCACAAAGATGACAATAACTGAAATCCTTGTCCTTGTGGGGGGACATTTTTTTTGTCCTCATGAGGAATAAGCTTATAAATCATACAGAGTGAAGTTTTTTGTAAAAATCTAAAAATGCTGAAAGTTTTCTGAAAGGGGTAGGTTTACATGTAGCTTTAGTGTAAGGCGATAGAATATACAGTTTCTACAGTATAAAAACCATTACGCCTATGGAATGTCCCCATAAAACATGGAAACCCAGCATGTGTGTAGTTAAAGGGATTTAGAAGGAATTTAGTGTGTAGTTGTGCAGTGCTATGGTAAAATATGATTTAAAGTACTTTAAAGAAGCCAAAACCATAACACTGACTTGACAAACCTAAAAAAGTACATTAAAAACGTATAATTTGATCTCATAAGAACCATTATAAGAATTGAAAACCCTATACAGCCATAAGATTATTATAGAAGGACTCAAAAGAACCACTGAAAAACCTTACAGGAGGATATGATTTAAAAGTGCATTTAACAAAACTTAAAACTTTATTGATTTATTAATGGTAGAAGGCCTGCATAAAGAAAGCAAAATTAAAAACTTTTTTTCTTCCATGCAGTATAAGCCTTAGCACTGAGAAGTCACAAGGCATGGCTTTATACTGAGAGCTATCGGGTTGATGGGAAGCTGCTCTCAGCTGGCCAACCGGGACACCACAACATGCTTACACCCCAAGGCATCAACATGGTCCACAAACTGACCCCTAACAAGATCCCCTGGCGCTCTGTGCTCAGTAGTGCTTCTCAGGGGACTTTGGGTTCCAGCAAAAAAAAGAAAAAAAAGAAAAGAAAAGAAAAGTTGCTTTGAGAGTTATTATTCTGCTTGCCAACAAGAATGTCTAAGAATAAGACGACTAAGAATGTTTATCGTAAACTCCAAAGTAGCTGTTTCTGAAAAGCTGAACTTGTAAAGCTTCTAGTCTTGGGCAGGATCTAAGAAATCAGCTTACAAGAAATCAAAACTGAGTTCTTTGTGGTTTTGAATCGGATGTTCTTGTCTCCCTCTGATAAGGGACAAACATTAT